ATTTTGTCTGAGAAATCTCAAATTTTGGTTTTTTTCAAGGAAAAAAAATTGGGCGTAGCGAATATCTAAACCTTTCTTCCGTGTGTGTAACGTAGGTTGTCTCTCAACAACGAATTACTTTAATGGAATTGAGTTGAAACCAAAAAGAATTTCACAGCATTTCCCCGCTGTTTTTTTTTAAATAAGAGGGAAAATCGAACAAATCAATTGCGCGGCTATGAAATCCATACTGACGATAACATTTGACCTGCCTCTAGTGGTCATACAACAGACGATCAGCGGTCAATATATACACACAATACAGACACGCTAGCATAGGATTTAAATGATTTGCGCAAATGGCTACTTGATTATTGGCCATGCATATGTTTATGTGATTGAAATCTTTAAATATCACCACAAACGTCGTGTCAGTAGAGGTCGTCTTATGTTTGCATTGGAAATACGTGTTATTGTTGTTGTAGCTTGATCGCCGTGTTCAATTGGTCGGTATTATCAAAACAAAAATCGATGGGAATCCATCTCAAGATATTGGTGAACACATCAATTCAATCTCGCCAGTTCTTGATATGTGTGGATAATGTACAATAAATAACATACACACAAACAAACTATTCGATCGTTAGCAATAAATTTATATCGAATCGATATGATGTCAACAATAAATGTTTTTATGTGAAAAATGTGTTGCACAGCCGTTATCGATCGGTAAAAATATTATTTGCGATAATGTCAAGTGATATGATTGCATTGTGATGTCGCTCTTGACCTCGAATAATAGTCATTTGGATTGATTAAAACCTTACTTTTGGAATTACTTGGAATAAATTGTCTTACCTCCGTAAGACGAACTTTTCCGCACCGTTTTCATAGCGTTCAGCTTTTATTCAGATTTTGCCTAGGAAATTTATAAGAATTTTCAGAAAAAAACAACAGTACGTTCATGTATTTTATGGAAAATTGTATTATGATTCCGAAAATCTTGATGTTGGGTATTCAAATGAAATAAAACGTCTGACTGTCTTTATTGTCGTCTGAATACTGAAAAAATTGGAACAAAATGTGACGAGTTGAAAAAAATACAACTTAAAATAAGCACATTTTTTTTGACCAAAATCATAACGCGTCTTTCTTTTACATTGTATTTATATGGCAGCCCTTCGAATCTATAGAACCACATGAATGAGCGAAGGAGTGATTTGAAACTCTCATACAAAAGCGCGATTTTTAACAAAATCAAGAACAACAAAATGCAAGAAATTTTGAATTATTATACCGATTTGATACGAAAAATGTAGGTTAGAGGGTGCTAGGTTGTTCCTAGGCCCCTATTATTTTGAAGAAATAAATCGAGTGGGAGTGATAAAATCCACCTGGGAGCCTATTTTGGGTACCTTCCGAACAAAAGTTCGATTTTTCAAGGAATTTTGAACTAACATATCGATTTAATACCAAAAAGGTGGGTTAGCGGGTGCTAGGTTGTTCCTGGGCCCCCTTTGATGAAATAAATCGAGTGGGCATGATAAAACCGAAGGTCCTGCATCTAAGCGTCTGACAGCTCACTTCTAGCGCTACGAGACAAGTGTCAAAAGTTGTGACACAGATCGTTCAATGTATCATTGAATCTTTTTTATATTTGTTAATAAAGTAGACAAAAAAAAATAAAAATGTCACGTATGTGCAAAATTGATTTTTGTGAGAGCGTAGCACGTGATAAACATCAATTTTATAAGTAAAAAATGTTTCTTTAATTACGGAACATTGTTGATGCGTTCAATTTGTCGCGTTCATGAGTGCGTCTAACGACGTAAAGAATTGAAATGAACTTCACTGAATGCGCTCATCGCAAATTCGTGTTTTACTTTGTTTTGTTAGTGTGGTGCAGGGGTTGTGGATAAAACCCACCCGGGTAGCCTATTTTGGGTACCTCCCGAACAAAAGTTCGATTTTTTGAAGGTTTTTCATAGGCTAGGTATCCTAGGGTACATCTGGGGTGGCTGAAAATTTAATGGTTTTCAAGTCTAACGAAGCACAAACGTTTGGTACTTGCAGAATTTCATTTCCTATTCTGGTATTTGAGCAGTCGTGCTAACAAATTTTTGCGTACAGCGTACAGCGCACAGCGTACAGCGTACAGCGTACAGCGTACAGCGTACAGCGCACAGCGTACAGCGCACAGCGTACAGCGCACAGCGTACAGGGTACGACACACCCACATTAACATAGCAAAATAATCACTGTATCGTGCTTTTTGGTTTCGAAAATGGATAGAAAATGGTTTTTTTGGGTACCTAGGTTTTGGAGTGATAACAATACTTTTACTCACGACATGGGCGTGCGAAAAAGTAAAAGACGCCGTGATAAGTTTTTGTTGGTTGGATATTTTATTGAAACGCATATTTTTATAGCACAATATTATTAATTCAAGGTGCAATTAAACAAATATTACCATTTTGTCACGAATTTCTTAAAGGATTAAATAGAAATCAGTTAGCGATTAAAGAAAACAGATAGATAGATAAATCGTATGCGTTGTGTATTGTAACGCGTCCACAGTACAAAATTTGTATTCTCTTCCCGTTTTTCCAAGTTAAACAAAATTATAACATCCGAATGAAAGTCGGAAAAAGTATGGCGATTTAGCATTGCCGAAGAGAATGAGTGATGGAGGTTCTTCCTGCCAGAACAGAATGCGCTAGGTATGTTCTGAATTTGTGTGATTGAAATGAAGTTATTCAAATTCATTCCTTGCGTTTAACATTTTGAACCGATTTTTTTTAAATCTCAGACAAACCTCAAAATCAAAAGGTTTCTCTATTCAACTATTCATTCTTGGTATATTGCTTGCTTTCATCGTAGTTAGAGAGGTTGTATTTAGACAGAGTGTGACACTCATTGTGAGTATGTCATTAGCTAAAACACGTTATCTAGGATTGAATCAACTAAAAGACTAGATAAAATTGCTTGCTTAGCGTTTTTTGATGTCGCACACTCTTATAATACATTTGTTTTTTTCTTGTGCAGCAAAATGATAGAAGTAAATAATATCCACACCAACTTAAACACAAAAATAACAACACAAACTGTTATGAACAAATACAAAATGGTTTAAATATTTGTGTGCACACTGCAGAGTGAATGTAGTGCATGTACGATACAGATACAAATTCATTATTCAAAGCATATCAAATTAAATGCTCGATAAAAGAATTGTGCTTTTTCTAAATGAACTTTAGTTGCAAGTTTGTCAGTGAACATGCCGCTTGTGTCGGCTGATGAAGAGTGATAAAATTGTTTTTTAAAAGCAGCAGACGACCGATAAATCAAAACGTTTTTTCTTGAAAATGTACGAAAATCGATTTGAATCAAATCAAAATTAATGGATATGTATTTATCAACTGCAGACTATAAAAAAAGAAATAAAATCCTGTAATAATTTTAAATCGTGACTAAGTTTAGTGAATGCTGTAAAATTTAGTGGCAATAAAGAAATTTTCAGTGATACGAAAGAATTAAAGAAAACGACTTTCATTCGTCGACTAGTTTTGAATATAAATGATGAAAAAAGGGAACAACTTCCAAATTAAAAACAGAATTATTAATTTGATCAGAAAGAACTAGATCAAACAAGGAAAAATCGACAAAAATATATATGTTCATTACTTTTCTGTATGAGAATAATACTTACATTGATACGGAGAAAAAGTTTGTGTAATTTATAAAAATGGAGTCCATACAACGAAAGTTACCACCAAATCCCCGTGAAAAAACGAATATTTTTTCGCTGTTGTTTTTCACATGGACAATCCCGTTGTTTAGAACGGGATATGCAAAAATTTTACAATTAGATGACATTTTTCAACCGTTGAAATGTGATAAATCCGACGTTCTGGGTGATCGTTTAGAAGCGTAAGTATTTTATTCGTTCCAAAAAGCGTGATAACGCATTTATGAAATTTTGGATAGCGCAATTATTTGGCATAGCTATCACGATTAGATAAAACTTACGAATGTCAATAGATTTTGCAACAATGACATACAACTCGACTTGATTGGATCGGATTGGATTTGTTTTGATTACACCGTGCAACAAATTTCAACTTTTTTCTTCGCCCATGAGGATTTCCGATTCACGGCTTTAGAGGACCACAAAACAAACATTTCTGCATCACTAGTTTGTCCAAGTCACGTCAATTTTTTTTTTTTCATCGACTTCCGTAGGTCTTCCCGGAATCTGAAAATCAGCAATAGGTCGAAAATTTTCAAATGTAATCCGATTTTGCTGAAAATTGGTATACACAGTAAGTGAGCCGATAGAAGAACATTGACATTCAAATTGATCTGAAAAACTTGTCCGAAGTGGTCCAAATGGTATTTTGAGGTTTTGGACCGAGCAAAAATCGAAAATTTTCAAATGTTTTCCGATTTTGATGAAATTTGGTACACATAGTAAGCAAGCCAATAGAAGAATTTTGGCATGCAAACTGATCCAAAAAAACTGGTTCGAACTGGTCCAAACTGGTCCAAAACCTCAAAATACAATTTGGACCAATTCGGACCAGTTTTTTGGATCAGTTTGGATGCCAAAATTCTTTTATTGGCTTGCTTACTATATGTACCAAATTTCATCAAAATCGGAGAACATTTGAAAATTTTCGACCTATCGCTGATTTCACAGATACCGAAGTCGATTAAAAAAAAATTTGACGTGACCCGGACAAACTAATGATGCAGAAATGTTTGTTTTGTGGTCCTCTAAAGCCGTAAATCGGAAATCCTCATGGGCGAAGACATGTGTCGCACGGTGTTAGAGAGATGTGACATACTCAACATTCGCTGTCCTTGTTATCACACAGTTTAGTTAATGACTCTTGAAAGATTGTAAATATCCGATACCTCGATTGTCCAAAAACACGTTTTGATTAAAATGTTATCAAAAATATCTATGTATATTAGGGTGGATCGATTTTGAACAAAAGGCCCGATCTATCCGGGACATGCTGCTATCGATAGAGGGCCTCAATACAAACAACTTTTGTTCATAGACCTAAGGTCGAAAGGGCAAACTGGGATTGCCCCTGTTGATATTCTGAGAGGAGTTTTTTCTTTATTTTTTAGGGTTTAACTCAGTCAGTATTGAGATTTAGCTAGAAATCTTATAAACAAATTTAGCACAAAATATTGCTACAAAAATCCCATCTGGTTGGTGTTTGGCCTCAAAATGTCGAAAATTGTCAAAAACGTGAAAATTGTGTCCGATACCTTATTTGAGACATGCATTTTTTGAAGGCGGTCTATTTTGGCTGACTATACCATCGTGTTTAAAAGACAAAAAAAACTGACAAAAATGGCTGGCCCCGGGTGACTAGGACCGGGTCCAAACTTTGGAACCGATTTCTGGTATGGGTGGACCACCCCAAATCTGATAGTCTCAATCGATAGAACTCGTCAATCTGTACAAACACTGAAAAAATCATATTAAAATTCGAAATCCACGCCGAAATATAGCTTTCCGAAAAATCGATGTTTTCAGGATTTTCTCAACTTTTGGTCCCTCATATCTCCGAAACCACAGGTCAGCCAGAATATTCCGGCTTTGTTAGGATATATGGCCATACGCTACAAAACTAGACTTGCCAGAAATCGACTTGGTGACCCCCTTGCAGAAAATTTCCGATCACGTATCGACCATTCCACATGAAATGAGCCAAAATTCACAAGGGTTTTTGGAATCAGCTGAAACTTTGCATGGAAGTTGGGTTTGGACAAAAACTCAGAAAACCAAAATTTTTCCCGCGGTCTTCAACGCGGTCATAAGTTAATGAAATTTTTACACAAGTTGGGGTTTGAAGAGCCCTTCCGATCCCACGTTTAGGGTACCTCCGCAGATAGCAACTGACCCGATTTTTGGGCTTCCAAACATTCAGGATGGGAATAGAAAATTTACCCCCCCCCCCCGGGGGGGGCGGTTTAAATTTTTTTTTCGATTTGCCACCAAAAATGGTCAAATTTTAGCAAAGAAAAATTGGGACAAAACTCAAATTTTTTCAAACTTTTCGATATTTTGACTGTCATGCACCACAAAATGGTCAAAAATGGTCGAAAATGGCCTCTGACGATGTTTTGATCTGAGAAAACTGCCATTTTTTCGTCTAAATACATTAATATATAAATAGTCTTACCTCCGTAAGACGAACTTTTCCGCACCGTTTTCATAGCGTTCAGCTTTTATTCAGATTTCGCCTAGGAAATTTATAAGAATTTTCAGAAAAAAACCACAGTACGTTCATGTATTTTATGGAAAATTGTATTATGATTCCGAAAATCTCGATGTTGGGCATTCAAATGAAATAAAACGTCTGATTGTCTTTATTGTCGTCTGAACCCGTGTGAAAAAATAGTAACTGAGCAGTCAGTTAACTAATTTGGGACAAAAATGACTTACTTTGATTGACATTTCAGTACAAAGTGTAGTGTAAGTCTATCATAGTTAACTGAAATCATTTGAAGTTACAAGTCAATCTAAGTTGCTTCATTTGGGACCAAGTGATTTTCTTAGAACAAAAATATAAATTCAATCAACTAAAGTCAACTGAAGTTATAGTCAGTCAGTCATTTCTTTTTCACACGGGAATACTGAAAAAATTGGAACCATTTAAAATAACCGCATTTTTCTTGACCAAAATCATAACCCGTCTTTTTAGCACTACATGGAATGTAGGCTACTTTAGTTGTTATTTTTTTCCCAAGAAAATTTTAAGAGTTCTTGGTCCATTTTTTTGGACCGTAAATTGATTCATTTTAATATCCATATTTTTTATTTGAAATGAAGCAATTACGCCTAATTGCAAAAATGAAATAAAATCATATTCTTGTAATTCACCTTTGAAATAACCAAAAAAAAAATTTACACTTTTTTCGTTGCCAATGTGAAATAATGTACGATTACCATTCACATTGAATGTATTGGGTGTATAACTTTGCTTCCGCCGTTTTTTTTCAATTTTTGAGGCTTTATTGTGAAAAATTTGTACAATATAATTTATTCAAAGTACTGTCCATCGAAAGCTATGACTTTTCCCCTCAATTCAGCCAATTTATGGATTCTGTCCCAGAAAAACTGTGTCGGCTTGGCGGCCAAAAAGGAATCAAGCCAATTTTTGACTTTTTTGAAAACAAGTGAACCGTCCTCCACTTAGGTGATATTGAATCGACTGAAACCAGTGGTAGTAAGAAAGCACAATGTCTGGAGATTACAGCGGGGGCATAAAGGATTTTCAAAATTAATAGCTTCTTAGAAATTTTGGACTTGATAGCCAAAAAGTCATTAAAAAAATTCCTCAAAAATTCGCTTTTTTGCGGCGATAAGTCAATTTTTCGATTTTGCTGTCAGAAATTGGTATATACCGATTAGTTTCTGTTGGGGAATTTTGATAAGTTTCTACCTCCTTCCAATGCACCATATCTGCCCCACCCCCGCAAATATGGAAAATCACCCTTTTTCGAGGGAGTGATTATGGCGCCCCCTATAATGACAAGTAACCACGATCAAAATGTGGTTTGATATGCTTGTGTCTATCGAGAAACGTCCATTCTTCACTACCAGTGTCCACTCGATAAAAGAATAATCTATTTTTCACATTTTTCCCGTATGAAAAAACTGCTCCCGTAAATGCGGTTTTTTTGGCACGAACTCGGACATTTTTGAGCACAATAGAATTTATGATGCAGATAAAAATTTACAAATGTGATGATGCAGAATTGTTGACAGATAACCAAGCTTACCGTATGACGTTTTAGAGCTGATATTTTTCACCAGCACTTACCGCTGGAGCCATCTATTGGAAAACGGCGGAAGCAAAGTTATACACCCAATACATAAAACACATAAGTGAAGAATACAATATCATATAAATTTATTTAATTATTTTTGACAATATTAAAATAAGTGCTTACGATTCCATGTAGTGCTTACGATTACATTCCATGTAGTGCTTACGATAATAATTTGATGGGAAACCTCAAATTAATTAAACCCCTTGAATTTACAAGCTTCTGCAAGCTTCAAGAACGCAGAGCGGAGCGAAGCGACGAATTAAATAATTATGAATTTGAAATGGGACATTGAGACAAATGTCCGATTGTCCCAAATCAATAAAAGGATGGACGGACGAACAAATTTTGTCCCTTTGCCCCCTTTGGGGTACGACACACCCACATTAACATAGCAAAATAACCACTGTATCGTGCTTTTTGGTGTCGAAAATGGATAGAAAAATGGGTTTTCGGGGTACCTAGGTTTTGGAGTGATTACAATACTTTTACTCACGACATGGGCGTGCAAAAAAGTAATGACCCTTTGAACATCGCATTACCTATAAATTTGATCTGAAATCGACATTTCTCCATAAAAAAAATAGCCAATGGTCGCAATCTTCATACAAAATCCCATTTATAGCAAAGGAAAGACACCTATGATGGCCTGTTATGCGTCTATTTCCACCTAATTTTCGACGTAAAATCGGACAGTTCGGGTTCGCCGCTCTTTTAAAAACACTTTGGTGGTTTCACGATATTTTCTTCCATTGGTATAGGAATTGGAAGAAACAATTTGCTAAATCAACGCGACCGTCTTTGATTAGGGCCATACTTGCTACGCTTTGGAAGGAATATGCACTTCTTAGTTTTGTTTGCGGATTCAATGATATCTTCTTGCGTTTGGGACAACCATTGCTACTCGGAAAATTGCTACTCTATTTTCGGTAAGAGTTGAGCATAAACTCTCGAATGATACACAATTCGAATTCGAAATATTTCTATTTTGCAGCGAAGATTCGACGATGAAATATGAAGATGCGCTCCTGTATGCCATTGGAATTATCATTTTAAACGCTTTTAGCACCATTATGGCAAATCAATTTTTCATCATTGGTTTACATAATGGTATGAAAGTTCGTGTTGCCGTGTGCAGCCTTATTTATCGAAAAGTGAGCGAAGAACTGTTTAAAAATAAGATTCAAAAACCAACATCCCAGATTCATCTCAATCATTAAACACCAATACATTCTAATTTAGGCATTACGGCTTTCACAAACTGCACTTGGTGGAACGGCTCCCGGCAAAGTCGTAAACTTACTATCAAATGATGTGAATCGATTCGATTGGGTGACAATGTTTCTGAATTCAATGTGGACAGCACCGTTACTTACGTTAATCGTTGGAATTTTGTTATGGATTGAAATCGGTATAGCTGGGATAATAGGTATCGTGATTGTGTTCATTGTTGTGCCGATTCAAAGTGAGTATAACTGTTAAATGAATAAAATGTTTGAGGAAAATAGCATTTCGATTTATTTTCAGGTTATACTGGTAAATTATCGTCAATATACCGCTTGCAAACCGCCCTCCGAACGGACGAACGTGTCCGATTTATGGATGAAATAATATCTGGTGTTCAGGTGATCAAAATATACGCCTGGGAAATTCCGTTCTCCAAATTGATCATGTATGCCCGTAAAATGGAATTGAAAATCATTCGCAAAAGCTCATACGTTCGAGGCTTGTACATGACATTCATGCTGTTCACAACCAGAATGGCTATATTCTGTACAATGCTGTCGATTTCCTTAATCCAGGGATCGGATAAAATTACCGCATCCAAAATATTCGTTATTTCTTCGTATTATGCTATCATCGCGCAAACAATGTCACAAATGTTTGTTCGTGGTGTGGCCGAAATCGCTGAAGTGCTCGTCGCCTTGAAACGTTTACAAAATTTCTTAGAATTAGATGAGAAGAAAACAGAAAGCATTTGTGCGGGGGAAAACGGACATAACGGACTTAACGGTGATAAAAATGGGGTAAACGGATTGTTTGATTTCGAAAATGTGTGACTATATTAATTACCATGTAATTTATTTCGTAACAGGTGGACAAAATAATAGAGGCCGATCATGTGGCACCGAAAAATGTGTCTGTATCAATAAGAAATGGCACTGCTCGCTGGACAATGCCAGCGGTAAAAAATCCACTACAAATAGGTACTTCAAAACATGAGAAAGATGCACCACAAGAAGATGAATCATCCGCATGGAAAAAGCCAACGCTCAGCAATATAAATGTCGATTTTCCAAAGGGAAAACTGATTGGTGTGATTGGATCAGTTGGAGCAGGAAAGAGCTCATTTTTGCAGGCCTTATTACGTGAATTGCCTTTGGAAACTGGTTCATTGAGCATAAACGGATCCATTTCATATGCAAGCCAAGAACCATGGGTATTCGCCGGATCGGTTAGACAAAACATTCTGTTCGGTGAGGATTATGATCGTGATCGATACGATGCTGTCATAAAAACATGTGCACTGGTCAAGGACTTCGAGCAATTGGAAAATGGAGATCGAACGATTGTTGGAGATCGTGGAGCCAGTCTCAGTGGTGGGCAAAAAGCTCGTTTGAAGTAGGAATTATAACACCAAGGTTTCAACCAGGATATTTTTATTGAGATTTTTTACTCTCTTGATTTTAGTTTGGCTCGTTCTTGCTACCGCAAAGCCAACATTTACTTGATGGATGATCCTCTAAGCGCCGTTGATGCTCATGTCGGAACGCATATTTTCAACAAGTGCATCGGGCCAAAAAGTCGACTCTCAAAACTGAACGCAACGCGTATTTTGGTCACACATCAGGTGCATTTCCTGAAAGAAGCCGATTGGCTAGTTGTTCTAAAAGATGTAAGATCTCTTTGGGAGGGACAGTTTTATTTGGAACATAAGATACACAATTTTCCACCTCTACATAAGTGACAATAATTTAAAATTGTATAGGGACGAATCGAGGTGCAAGGGACGCCAGCCGATTTGGCAAACAGTGGAGTGGATTTCGCTAAACTTGTTGGAACAAATGAAATTGATAATGAGGAAGGTCCAGAAAAATTCAAACGTCAAATGTCACGGCAGACATCAACAAGATCAGCATCATCAATCTCATTGAATAGCAGTGCAGACGGCTTCGAGTTTGATGACGAAGAAGATGAAGGAAAAACTAAAGGTGTCGAAATGGAAGACAGTTCGAAAGGCAAAGTGAAAGGATCGATTGCTTATAATTATTTCCGAGCCGGAAGTCATTGGTCAATTTTGTTTGTATTGGGAGTTTTATTTTTAGTGGTTCAACTCTTAGCTAGTGCAGCAGATTATTGGGTCTCAATATGGTAGGACCTAAACCTAAACTGTATCAAATACTCAATCAACACTCTGCAAATAACGCTTTTGTTTACAGGACCAAACAAGAGGAAATGCGTGTTTATAGTCGAGATCACAATACAGAGGAACCATCGCAAGCACATCCAACTGCCACACTTGGAACTGATTTTTGTATATCCGTCCATGGGGCAATAATGGCATTTTTGTTTATAGTCGCTATTATAAGGTGAATTTTTCAAACGATTTAAAAAGATTTTTTTTTTAAATAATCGAAAACATTTTCTTTAGATCAATTGGTTTTTTCAATATTTGTATACGAGCTTCCCAGAGACTTCACAATTCCATGTTCAGCGGACTCATTTCAACTTCAATGCGATTCTTTGACACAAATCCATCGGGCCGAATTTTGAATCGATTTTCAAAGGATATTGGGTGTGTGAGGATAGTTCATTTTGTATTTGAATTGTATTGAACATTTGAATATCTTTGTAGCGCAACGGACGAATTACTCCCAAAAGCAACACTTGACGCAACACAAGTGCTCCTGAGCATGACTGGTTCAATCATCGTTGCGGGTACCGTGAATCCATACTTTCTGATTCCAGTTGTTGTGATTGGATTTATTTTCATATTTATTCGCAAAGTATACTTGAAAACATCGAAAAATATCAAAAGATTGGAAGGAGTTGGTAAATATGGGCTGATGGGAATTTCTATTCTTGTCAAAAGATAACCTAATCAATGAATTAATTTGCTTAATTATTGATTTTAGCAAAATCTCCTGTATTTACGCACTTAACGGCCACTCTGACCGGCCTTTCAACGGTTCGAGCGTATAATGCTGAAAGAATCCTTAAAATTGAATTCGATTACCATCAAGACACGCATTCAGCATGCTGGTATATGTTTATTTCAACTAGCTCCGCATTTGGTTTTAGCTTGGATCTCATGTGCTTAATTTTCATTGCGTGCATCATATTGTACTATATGGTGATCGACACTAGTGTTTCGGGTGAAAAAGTCGGATTAGCAGTTACACAAGCAATGTCTTTAACGGGCATGTTACAATGGGGTAAGTCCAAGAGAAGATTCATTAAATTCTGTCTATAAATGGTTTCGTTGAAGGTATTCGTCAAAGTGCCGAAATAAGCAACCAACTGATGTCTGTTGAACGTGTGCTTGAGTATCGAGATTTGGAGCCAGAGAAACAGCCCAAGAAATCGTATCAAGTCAGTGACGACTGGCCATCAAGGGGATGCATTGAATTCAGAAATGTGGTCTATAGATACTTTGCAGAAGCTGAACCAGTATTACGGGGTCTGTCATTTGTAATTAAGCCGAGAGAGAAAATCGGAATCGTTGGGAGGACTGGGGCTGGCAAAAGTTCATTGATCGGCGCTATTTTCCGTTTAGCTCAGATTGAAGGAGAGGTGATCATTGACGATATCGACACTGCCACACTTCAATTGAAAGATTTGCGGAAACGCGTTGCAATCATTCCACAAGATCCAGTCCTATTCTCCGGCACTTTGAGAAGGTATTTCGTCTCTTTTGTGGTTTTTAAACTTTTCTCAAAGCCTTTTTTAATTGATATTTTGTACAATTTTCAGAAACTTGGATCCATTCGAGGAGTATCCAGACGATGACATTTGGAGCGCACTTGAAAAGGTTGAATTAAAAGACATCGCTTCAGGTCCATTGGGCCTGCACTCGGCTGTGATGGCACACGGTTCCAATTACTCAGTTGGACAACGTCAGCTTCTGTGCTTGGCTCGAGCCATTTTACGTAAAAATCGAATTCTGGTACTGGATGAAGCCACAGCGAACGTTGATCCACAGTAAGTCAATGGACTCCAGTCATTCTGTTACGTTCAAAACTATAATCATTTTGTTTATTCTAAACAGAACGGATCTACTGATTCAACAAACGATTCGCGAGAAGTTCGCCGAGTGCACGGTGTTGACCGTTGCTCATCGATTGCACACAATCATCGACTCAGATCGAGTGTTAGTCATGGACACCGGTCGAGCGGCTGAATTCGATGAGCCACACAATTTGTTGCAAAATCAAACGGGTATTTTCTACGGCATGGTTAAAGCACTCGGACCACAAGAGTTCAATCGATTGTCACAAATGGCTCGGGAAAAATTTAATACAGTGCGTGACGCTGATTTTGATGATGAAGCTGACTTCGAAGAAAGTCGCCTCTAATGATATTAAGGAGATAAATGATAATGCGATTCAAGTCCATATAAATTACCGTTTCACCGGCTTTAATCGCTCAAATAAATTTTCAAAATAACATTTTCATTCCATCGCATTGAAGTCATAATGGTTTTGGAGAGAAACTTTTTACGCTAGAGTCTGACCTACTGGGATTGCAGAACATAAAATAAAGAAATCAAGAAATGTTATCAAGTGTTATCAAGTACTAAACGTGTAATTTACTGAAAAAAAACTTCAATAAATACTAGTATACTGATTTATTTATGTAGTATCACACTGATTAAAGAGTTTTAAACCTGCTATAGCAAAGAATCGTGCTTTTTGACAGATGTACCAAATTGAATGTTTTCTGTGTCGTCATCTGTTGTCGGTGATACTAATATCTTCTCGTACGGTTCTGATGAAGATTTCATTTATTGTTTATCCAATTTTATACAAAATCACTTTTTCATTCATAAACCAATTTGGAACCGTTTTTCCGACTATTGGCATGCAAAATGCACAAAACATAAGAGTGAAAAAATTGTCATCATCAAGTTTAAAACACGGCACGACCAATTTCAAGTGTTGCAACTTTGTTTAAAAAAAAGCCGAATATGTCAAATCATTCTTTTGTCTCTTTGTACACATCAAATCTCACATTTTCAATTGAAAGTGAATTTTTTTTCCATACAACTCATGATCGTAATACACAATCACGTGTTTAGTACATTTCATCGATCAATACCGACACTGAACGCGACCTTTCAACGTGGTATTCACTTCAAGTATTTTTCAAAGTTTCCGGACACACGGACGGACGAACGAACGGACGGACGGACGGACGGACGGACGCACAAATCAATCAGATGAATAAAAGGAATTACATTGGTAAAAAATCAAACTTCTGCAAAAAAAACTACGCGTTTCATGAGTTTTTATGATGATCTAAGCTAATTTTGCGAAAAAAAGTTTTCGGGACCAATTCCTATACTTTCCCTTGACACGTTGTGTACGGAAAAGTAAAAACCTCTAGACGAGATTGAAATGGAGTGACGCTCCGTGCGTGGATTTACAACTCAAAATGACTGATATCATTTTGAGTGACGCTAGGACGCTGTGTTACTGGGAACGAAGTTCAAAAGTGTTTTTCGCATTCACTATTGTGAAAAATTTATTTACAATAAGGAAAAATATCGCTTCACGACTTTTGGACGGCAAAACGCTTTAAGGCTTGAAGACTAAATTCAAAAGTCGTGATTTTTCACTTTATTTTTACTTTTCCGTACACAACGTGTCAAGGGAAAGTATAGGAATTGGTCCCGAAAACTTTTTTCACAAAATTGGTTTAGATCATCATAAAAACTCATGAAACGCTTAGAAAACCACTTTTCGAGACACTTTTCCGTTCGTGTGCCGTCGTCGTCGTCGTCGTTGTCGCCGTAGCTGTTTGTAAACACGATAACTCGAAAAATAATTGAGATAATCAAAATCTGGAAATGCCAAAAGTTTTGTATCCAATAAACTTAGTTTAAGTTCGAAGATGAGCCATTTTCGATTTGATCCTGGGGTACTTGCCCTAAGAAAAACCTCAAAAAATTGACACTTTTGTATGGGAGGTACCTGTAAATCGACTTTAGTTAGCTTTAAACTTTCTGGGATTTCATTTTTTGGGAAAAAAATAAGATTCTGAAATTTTGAAACCAATCGGAATCCATTTACGGGTACCTCCCATACAAAATTTTTGAAATTTTGACTAAAATTACCGATTTTTGGACAATTTTGTATGGGAGGTACCTGTTAATCGATTCTGATTGGCTTCAAACTTTCTGAGGTTTCATTTTTTGGAGAAAAAATAAGATTCTGAAAGTTTCATGTTGATCGCATTTGCAGAAGTTTGATTTTTTGTCCTCAATTTTTGTCGAAATTTTCTTGGGAAAAATTGAGGGTCAAAATACAAACTTCTGCCAAAATACAAACAACTCGTCATATTTTGTTCCAATTTTTCCAAATCAATATTTTTTTGCATTCTCATTCAATAAAGGGATAAAAACATTAAATTTAAAACGAATTTTGGTTTAGTTTCTGAAAAACTGCTCAAAATCTTCATACAAAAACAATTCATGAAACGAAGAATTACACAGCACATGTTCAATCGAAGAAAAAAATAGCACTTTTGAGCAGCACTTTGTTATATTGGATGCCTGTTTGATATGAAAAATATTATTTTAACGCACATAAACAAATGTATATAAATAGTCTTACCTCCGTAAGACGAACTTTTCCGCACCGTTTTCATAGCGTTCACCTGTTATTCAGATTTTGCCTAGGAAATTCATAAGAATTTCCCCACACGAATTTCGAACTGGCAAAGCTGTCAATGGACTGTGGGACTGTGTGCGCTTTTTATATGGTTGACATCACATCGCATCGCACATCGACTAATGTTCAATTGTGTTTTTCAACATTGGTTCTAAAATTCATTATGGTAGATACTTTCCATAGAGGCTGTACGTGATGACCCTTCATCACGAATTGAACAAAAAAGTACTCTTGAAGTAAATTCATATCATCACTGTGCAGTCCAACCAAATTCCTTTGGTGCACACGTATAGCTGTTGTTTTTTTCATTCCATCTGAACAAACACAAAAGTAGTGTGTTGGGCTAAACCCGTTTTAGAAAATGATTATTCGTTTATTGTGAGACGTTTCGCTCTTGTTAGGAGCATCATCAGGCTGGAGAACAAAAATGTACACAAAAAACAATGAGTAAGTATTAAAACAATTAGAAACAGTCGAAAATAACCAAATTACGAACCAGTTACATCTGAATTTAAAATGTTTTCGAACGTATTCCATTTTTTTCCATCAATTTCCACAAATTGTATCAGCTACACGTGGAAGACCAAACGAATTCAAAGGATCTTCTAAAGAAGTACAAGACGGTTCTCTACTATCATTGTGCAATAGGTTAAAACTCTGTTTGGTTGGCAAATTAAAATGAATCTACTACAGGGTTTGTTTTCGGTGCTATTTATCGTTGAATTTTCGGTAAGTTTTTTTTTCACATTTTTCCAATAAAATACGATATTTCTGTAGAACTGAAAGTGAACACGAAATTTCTTTTTCTAGGAACTTCAAGGAAAACGTAAGACATTTTTGGTTTTCGAACTAGCTTCTCATGATTCCAAAAGATTTTTTCAGACTTTTATAATATTCAATTCGAAATTTCAACTTTTTTTCTAATGAACAGATGGCTTTTTCTCGCAAGCTCTTCTTAAGGGTGAAGTGATTGAAAACATGTCACAGGCAAAGTTTGTAGCTGGAATCCATGCTCCCGCAAGTGAGTCTGCTTTAGAATCATTTTCATTTTTTTGTGCGTGAATTTTTGTCCGAAAAAATTCAAATATTCTATCAATTTTGCTAGGGGCTGACTACGTGTCAGAAAATTGAAAATAATGCTAGATTTTATAATTTTTTTCAAACAATATAGTATTTACAACTGTGACATTTTTCGAACTTTCTCCAGAAACGTTTCACTGTAAATGATAACTTTCTATTTTGTCTTGTAATTAAAACGAATATGCATTTCTGTCGTTTTACTGTCAGAAAATTCATCACATTGTGGTGGTCAGAAGTATCGTTCATAGTGGATTATAGATTTAGTCAAATATTTGAGTTAACATACAGATGGTATTAAAACTGAATGATAGAAACAAATTTTGTAGATGAAGAATTCGCGGTTTCCCCCTAGCAATTTTGTGTGTGTGTTCATTTTTTCTTCAAATATTATTGCTTGTACTGAGAATGAAACGATTTTATTACAAAATATTTGCATGAATACAAAGACCATCCAAATGATCCCAATGGAAAAATGATGAGTATGTGTACCGCATTCATTCTGTCGAAAACGGAAATTATTACGAATGCCCATTGTGTGGATGAGGCCCCATATGTTTATGTGGTAGGTGGTACGAAAGTTGTATCAGATGCAAACCAGAAAATTAAAATCAAAGTCGAAAAAGAGAACTTTGTATATCACCCTTATTATAGTCATTTAATTGATGGTGCATTTGATATTGCCAAAATAACACTGAAAACGCCGTTAGAATTCAGCGATACCGTTGGTAGTATCGAACTCGTGGATAAGGATTACAAATTGAATAACCCATCAGAAGTGGTCACCGTATATGGGTATGGTGTGTTGAACAACATCGGACCAATGATATTGAGGCGTTGCGATGCGAAATATACATCTGATGTCAACGCATCTGAACTAAGTCAGGCTTTGGGCTTCACAACTGGTGAAGCTACGAATGATGGCGCTATTCTTACACCTGGGGATTCGGGTGGACCAGTTGTTTCAAAAACAAATGGCAAAATAGTGGGGATAACAATGGGTGTAACAATGGGTGGAACAGCAGATGGTCGCGGAGCGTTCCTTCCAATTACTCTATTTCTTGATTTTATTCGTGACCCAAAGGTATCTAATCACAATGCTCCAATTTTTGTTCTCAACAACGCAAACAAAATCATTTTTTGCATTAATTTCAGAGCGTGAAACAAATTCCACCTCAGCTTACACCTAACGAAGCTAAATTTATAGCCGATATAACGGTACCGGGAAGTAAGTGTGCATTCGAAATTCGAACCGAATCAAACCGTTTTTAACGTCACTTTTTTTATTTTAAATAGAGGAGAGGCAAAAGTGGAGATTTTTCATGATTCATAAACATTAATATTCATTCTGAGATGTTTTTCTATTACAGAATTTCTTACTGTCTCCAAGCATAAATATGCCGATGCCGACGAAGATGTTGAACTAGAATTTAATGCAATCATTTTGTCGGAAACGGAGATTTTGACCTGTGCGCATGGGGTGCACGGCGCCCCATATGTCTATGTCACCGTTAATAAACTATCAAGAAATGCGACAAAACTTAAAGTCACTGAAGACCAGATAGAAATTCATGAGAAATACGCATTGTCGGGATTCACATTTGACATTGCCAAGATTACACTTAAAGAACCGTTGGAGTTCAACGATAACGTCGGCAGCGTAGATTTGGTGGACAAAGATTACAAAATGAATGACCCGTCCGAAATGGTCACTGTCTACGGTGATGTGATATTGGATGGAACAATGAGAACGAGGCGTTATGATACAAAGTATTTGGATGGCGCCAAATGCAAACCGAAATTGGACGCTGTATTTGATGCAAATCATCTGATGTGTTACACTTTAGATGAAAGCATGGGAACTCCCTATACGTTTGGAGGTCCAATGATTTTGAAAAAGAATAACAAACTCGTGGGCATGACCATATTTCGTTCTCCTGATAAACTGGTTATTTTTCAACCGATTGCACCGTTGCTTGATTGGATCCGGAAGCCAAAGGTGAGACGTAATCAAAGAAGAATATAGGCTTGAAAAAAGGGGTTTTAGGCGCCTGAAAAAGCTGAATACCGTATCTTTTTTTGTCCCTGTCATTTGATGTTCAACAAAAGAACCGAATAAATTTGAAAATTTTAGAAAAATGCATTTGATTTTTCATTCGTTTATTGCGAGACGTTTCGCTCTTATTGGGAGCATCATCAGGCTGGAGAACAAAAATGTACTCAAATGTAGGCTTCCAGGGTGATTACGAATAAAATACAGAAGGCGGCAGATGATTTCGATTTAAATTGATTTACTTTTATTTTACTTTTGTTCGTTGGAATCGCGTGTGTATCAGCGGACAAATCGTGTGTAAGAGAGAGTGTGTATATATGACAGTTGCTCACGTTTTCCAAAAATCGTACTAAACTTTCCGAAAATCGTACTAAATTTTCCGAAAATCGTACTAATTTTTCACAAAAATTTCATCTGTTTTTTTACCCATAAGACCATGTCAACACATTTTTTTCCAACTTGAAATAGGTGTCATTTGATAGCTGGCCCCAAACTCTTTCCAACGATACCCAAAAGTCTGGAATTGATGGACTGGTTTTGGCACAGTGACCATTGGAAGGGAAGCCATTTTTTGATTTTTCAAAGGCCGGTCAAGGCTAAGATGGCCCGTGTACTATGGCAGTGGAAATTAAAGCCTTTTTTTTTATTTTGCAAAGGCCGGCCAAGGATGGTACAAATTAAAAAGTGGCGGAACAAAAAAGTACAAATTTTTTATATACTTCAATGCCTGAAAGTTTGAAAAAGATCGCACAGACAGACACACACCACACACACAGACACAGACAAAACGATTATCTCAGAATATTGGTGGGAAAAACTAAGAATTCCTCTCAATTTTCAAATGAGATGATATTTCTGTGGAGGTGGTTGACCGATTCACAAGTTTGAATGCATTTTCTGGGCCTATGAGCCAGGGGCCAGGGGAAAAAATGGCTTCCCTTCCAATGGTCACTGTGCCAAAACCAGTCAATCAATTCCAGACTTTTGGGTATCGTTGGAAAGAGTTTGGGGCCAGCTATCAAATGACACCTATTTCAAGTTGGAAAAAAATGAGTTGACATGGTCTTATGGGTAAAAAAACAGATGAAATTTTTGTGAAAAGTTAGTACGATTTTCGAAAAATTTAGTACGATTTTCGGAAAGTTTAGTACGATTTTTTGGAAAAAAATTAGCACGATTTTTGTAACTTTTCACGTAGTTTGTGTGATTTTAGTACAATTTTTGTGGAACTTTAGTACGATTTTCGGAAAATTTAGTACGGTTTTTGTATGTTTTAGGACGATTTTTGGTTTACCCTATGCCAAACGGACTGGATAATGTAGCCTTTTAAATTCGAAAGATAAATCTGTTTTTCTCATAGGAATTCTTGGAATCATAATTTCATCCCCTTTGAATTTGCCATTAATTATTGTAGCTTCCAATAAATTTGGTCTCATATTTTTGATTATTAATTTCGTCCCGTTGCATAGTCTTGGTGGATCTAAATTTCTTAACATAATCACAGAAAAACCGATCTTCAAATGTAAAATGTGGGGTGGCAGTCCTGGCAGATCCAAAGAATTCAAAAATTCAGTTGGATAGTTAACCGCCTCATCATCATTAGTCACCGTGTCAATTGATTCATATCTCATCGATTTAATTTGTTCACATTTTCATTTGTTGGGCACAAGATTGATCGTTCACTAAGCCACTCAAGATGTTTGTAGTTTTCTTTAATGTTAGGAAAAACATTTTCAATCAATCTTTTAATCGATGTTTGCATTTTACAGAAGTTTTTTGGTAGTATTATTTCTCTTGTTGTCGGCTCTATTTCAACATCAACATTTCCAATGTCAAGTAACTTCTGTTGGAAGTTTGTCGAATCATCGCTCTATAATTGTATGCGCATGTTGATAGATAATTTGATTGTTACAACAAAATCCCAAAGATATGATCGTTTTAAGCATGCATTGATTTCATCAGCTTGTGTGGATTGTGATATTACTGGCAAAGTTTGTCTGAAGTCGCCTGATAATAGCACAAGTGCATTTCCCATTGGATTATCGTTCTTTCTGAAGTCTTTCAAAGTTCTATCGAGTGCTTCAAAACCGTGTTTATGCATCATGGGGTGTTTATGCATCTTGTTTGATATTACACAATGGAAATTCAAACTTGTGTAAATTCAATGGTAATTTCAATGCTGAGTGAGCCGTACGTCCCCCATCAAGTAGTGTGGCAGCTATACCTGGAGATGCCAATGCTAATGCAATACCATTTTCACTTCTAATTTTCGCCAAAATTAGGTTTAATAAGAATGTTTTGCCAGTTCCTGCTGATGCATCTAAGAATAGTATGCCACCGATGTTGTTTTCTACGTATTGCATAATAGTAATATATGCATTTCGTTGGTCTTCATTCATTAATTTCTTGTTGTTTTCAACGAATGATGTTTGGCTGTCTTTGTCGAACTGTTTTTCTCGTAAGTAATCTTTTTCGAAATGTAACGATTCTGCTCTATTTGGAGATATCATTCTCAAATCTTTTAACGTTTTGTTACTTATTGATATGCATTTGTTTTCAATATCAATGAGAGCTTCATTAAATAGTGAGTCAACGTTCATCATTGTTTCTTGTTGTATTTGTTCTGCTTTATGGATCAAGTCTTCTGAAAGACTAATTTTATATTTGTTCCACAACTCAGTTGGATTATTTGGTGAACAAGTCGTCAACATTATTGCAAATAAATTTCTCATTGGTTCTGGCATGCTTGTTAAAGATGCGTCTGCTAATGTATCATTCCAATGTTATTGGAATGTGTATTCAGGCATCTATAATATACATATGTAACACTTTAAACAACAATGGATATTATATATATTTATATCATTTACCTTTTTAAATTCACAGTATGTAGTTCGATTATGAATTCAATAATTATTTAGATTTAAAAAGGGTGCTATGATATTTATCCTTTTAGAAATTAGAAAACAAAATATTTTTTTTTTCTTACCGATTCTGTTATTTTGAGAAATGGCATAGTCTAATACATTCTTAGAAAAACAGGCAAAATAACAGAATAAATGATAAAAAAGGTTTGAAATTTAAAAAAATGTGAAATTTTGGGCTTGTAATTTTACAAGGACAAACGGACATTGAGTTTTATTTATATAGATATGCCTTCCATCCCCTCCGATTAAGGGTGGGGGTGAAATTGGGGTGAATTTTTTTTCAACCCTTAATGCTCCCCATTTCTATTCAGGGATTTAGTGCTCATTTGGTGCTTCCAAAATCCACCATCAGATCAAAAATTCATCGAAAACAAAAAAAGTTACAGCCATGGATTTTTCTGGGGAGCCATATTTTCGATTTTTCAGGGTGGGATCAAATGCTCCCCATTTTGGATCAGGGATTTAGTGCTCATTTAGTGCTTCCAAAATAAAGTCTCAGATTCAAATTTGCTTGAAAAATACATAACATATGATCGCAGTGCTTTCAACACATCGGCCTCGTTTAGTTCACAATCCAATGCATCATTACGGCATTCGTTTAACAAACCTTTCAAATCAATGTCATCACTCGGTGTGTATTGGCTTTCGAAGAAATCCGCAAATAACTCCGCTTTAGATGCATCGCTCCTTGCTGTTTGGTTGTTGTACTGTCTGTCGTTCACAAACCTCCAAAAATGCTTCGGGTTCGACTTGATGTCCGATTGTATGCGTCTAATGTACGAATGGAACAACTGACCCTGTAATGCTACGAAGGAATCAGTGATAGCCATATAATCAGCGAAATTGTTTGTGGTCTTTGCCCGTCTGTGTGCCTTTCTTCTCAAATTATTCAAGTGTTTCAGCTGTTTATTGTACCAAGGTGGATCAGTGCTCAGTTTCAACGGTGACTTTTGGAACGAATTTATCCATTGCTTCCTGTACAAAATTCTCAAACATTTGAAATGAATTTCCAATGTCATCCTGCTGCACAATTTCCGAAGAAATATCTCTCTCAACAAAGAATTCGTTCATCGCCACAAAATCCGCCGTTTCATACTTGTAGAACTCTGTGATATCTTCTGATTCACGCTCATTTTCGTCAATTGTGATGTCCAATTCAATTGCTTTGTGCCACACATCTGATGATATCAGTGGCCTCACAGATTCTGACAGCGACAAATCGTAGAACTTGTTTGTGAACACAAGATCCAAAACATTGCCAGCTGGATTTTCAAGATTGCACATTTGGTGGAAACCACATCCGAGCATTGTATCAATAACCGCAACGCCACCTTCAGTCGTCACATTCATTGGCAAATAGTAATCCCCATCGTCCGCCTTAATCCACTTTACTCCGGGTTGATTAAAATCACCACACACAATTACAACGTCGTTGTCATCATATTTAATTTTTGTCACTGTCTCAGCAAATTCTAAAAATTTCTCTGTCTCAAGAACTGAACGAATATACACAGCAAAAACATAAATATTACACGTCGACAATTTTACTTTCACACACACGTATTCAAGTCTACAATTTTCCGTCAAAATGATTTTTTCACTGTGAAATCTATCTGAGCCACAACTTACTCGAAGAAATCGATCATCCGGATATATTTGCCAAAGCAGAACATTTGAAGACACTTCGATTGGAAGACAATCGATATAGAGAATTTGATGGACGATTTTTGCAGCTGATAAAACGTGGAGTTACAGTGGTTTGCTCGTGGAATTACGTTACGGCATTTGAAATGGATGAAAATCTTGGCAAATTGATTCGAATTATTACAAAGAGGCAAATTGAAGGGATTCTTTCAACAGCAGATGGAAAGCTGAAATTCTACTGTCACGAGGAAAGCTTTGAGGCGATAGAAACCTTCAAATTCACCCGAAAATCACATAGAAAATATCAGCAAATTGCTTCGTTGTTTGACACCATCACTGAAACAGTTGACATTATCCGGACGCTTCACCGAAAAGTTGAATGTCAGTTCAGTCGAACGATTCGAAAATTTAACTAAGCTTACCTTGAATGATGGGCTGTTGACATCTTTTGATTTTAATTCTATCAAAAAATTGCGAAATTTGAAAACACTGGACATTTCAGGGAACAATTTAAAACGTGTTGGAAATTTTCAACACAATCCCAGGTCATTTATTTATGAATTGAATTTGTCTAAAAATTATGTGGGTCAAATTAATGTCAGCACTTTTGAGAAATATAAATATTTACGTGAGCTCAATTTGAGCAACACAAGACTCGCACTCAACGATCTCAGACCGTTTGATTCGTTCTATCATTTGGAGAAACTAGACATTTCATATAACAATTTGGAGAAGGCTAACTTTACATCACTTCCACCTGTTTTGAAAGAGATGCAACAATTCTCTGCTGCCTACTGTAACATCGCAAACATTTCTGCTTTGTTGAAGCAATTCGGACCAAACATTGATTTCATTGATTTGTCTGGAAATCCGCTGCAACAATTGGAGAATATCACATTTGAGAATGTCACGCCTTTGGATATGAATTTGAGCCGAACCCATTTATCTCACATCAGCTTCGCTTTCGAACGACTGTGGCGAATAGATCTTTCTCACAATAACTTGAAAAGTGGTGATTTAAATCTTACTGAGGTACGATCGTGGCTAATGGAACTTCGTTTAAATGAAAATGAACTAACAGACGTGGACCAATTCGCCAAGTTACAATTCATGGGCCTTAAATTAATTTCGATTTCAAATAATCAAATCTCATGCAAACAATTGGCCACAGTTCATAAACGATTGGCCAAATTCGAAGCTAATTGATAACCCATTGCAACAAAAACACTGCGACTGTTCACACGCCATCCGTCTTATGGACAACTTGGGCTTCGTTGGAGATTTAATCTTGTGGATTGCTATGAAGCTTTTTTAACAGCGCCATTTTTTCGACTTTTATTCGTTTATATAGATAATTTAAATGAATTAATTTTGTGGGCGCAGAAGTGCGACTTGGATTTGCATTTTTAAATACTTTTTTTTATATGGATACACATTTAATTGATTTTGAAACAAAAAATTAGATTCGATTCATTGGCTTTTGCACACAAAACCAAATTCACTCGTTCTCTTAAATTTAAATTGTTCTTCAATGTACTTTGGGTAAAGGGTGTATTCTTGAAATTGTGAATGTTTATTTGTTTTATTTCTGTGAAAAAAGGTGTTCTTAGAATGCTTCAAAGCTCCTTGTATACTTATTTGATATGAGAGTATACATGATAAGTCAATCAGTCAATCTTTCAATTAATTTTTTCTTGTCATAGAGGAAATTCATTTTTCTCTTACAACAAACTCTGAACGTTATAATTTGTTATTCGAAATTTTTTCAGCAGTACCAAATCCTTTCTATGCATGATCAGAGATTGCGATATTGCTTTCGGCATATCATAAGATAGCTGAATGTGACATATCAGTTGGCTGAGTCGAGTGCAACGACGCTTGACGCTAGTCCTAGCGAACATTGAGTCCATGCGGCTACCCAGCAAGCGTCTTTGAATTGAATTCGAGAGCTAGCTATGCGGCATTGTTGTTCTTATATCTCACTTAAAAACTGAGTTAAATGTAAAAACACTCGCCGCACAGACGAGTCTTTCAGAAATCGAACTCAAAGAAATCGATCAGTCTGTTTTTGGCAATCAGGTAATACGATGATTATTGCTATTACTCTGTCGCCACAAAATGTTGAAAATGATGCAATGATTTAATGTGCCGCAAGTAGAATTTCATACGGTTTAATTTTCAATCCCTGTTATTCACCATCTCAAACTGCACATAAATGTTGCTACGATTATTGTTCATTGGACATTCAGACAATCAACAAACTGAGAATAAACAAATCTTATCTCATCGCTATGGCAAAACAAAAACAACTCACTATCTTAACCGTACTTATTGTGTGTTCGAAAAAAATATTATATATTGAAAGGTATACCAAATATAATGCACAAAGTGATTGAGATAATGCAATAAAAGTGTCATATTTTGACGCAAAGCCAATACAAAGCAATCAAGTCCAATCATTTCAGATAGACATATCGATAATTGATATGAAAGATTAGCAGACATATGTGAGTCAACAAAAGATATGTGTCGTAAAAAAAGTGTAAAGAAAAAAGACATTTTTTTAACATTACACGACATGATAGAGGACAAATTTATTATTGGCATCACCATTGACAAAATGAAACGTAATTTATTTACTTCGAAGAACTTCATCTTTGTGGTTGGAATTATTTATTAATCAGCGAAAAACATTTGGAAAAATTTCAATTTTTTCGTCATACATGAAAAGTTCAAACATTAAAATTGAAGGCATTCGCGTCGGTTGTGCTGCACAAACCTCATGAATTGTCTGCCACTCGGTAATGATTCTAGTTGAAGTTTGGTTTTGATACACAAGTTTGAATTGTGGTTGTTCGTTCTGAAACTGCAAAAAGTTTAAAAAAAATTTAATGTCAAATCGATATGACATGCGTGACAGGGTCAATAAATGCTAATCGCTTGAAGAGCTTGTAAATACTTTGTAGTCGGCAACGAAAGTGTTTGGTCAGTGGTCAACGGCATTTTACGTGTGAAGGTCATTCTCGAGTAAAAAGCCAATTAAAGTTTTGTTAACGTGCAAAAAAGTGAACAATGAACAAAAATTAAATAATAAAAAAACTGAAAAAAAAATTCTGAAAAGTACCTAGTAAAAAAGTGAACAATGTTGTTGTTAATCACAACCTTTTTGGTAACGTTGGTAACCACTGCATACCTTTATGTGAAATATGTATTTTCGTATTGGAAACGTCGAGGCTTACCATTTGTACAACCAACGCTACCGTATGGAGGTTTCGGTCCAGTGTTTAGAAAGGAAAAAGGATTTAGTCAACATCTCCATGATCTGTATCGCAGTTCGGATGCGCCAATATTGGGCATTTTTGCATCCATTCGGCCAGCTTTATTGATCCGGGATCCGAAAGTCATTCGCGACATTTTAATAAAGGATTTTCAACATTTTTGGCATCGTGGATTCCATTATGACGAAAGTGTTGATCCATTAGCCGGCAATTTATTCTCACAGAGTGGTGACAAATGGAGAGAGATGCGAACAAAACTTTCCCCGGCATTTACATCAGGGAAACTAAAGGCAATGTTCGAAACGATAGTTGAATGTGGAAAGCCACTTGAGAAACACTTGAAAAAATTGGCCGCAAAGAACAAAGAGGTTGAAGTGCGCGATATATTTGCCCGGTTCACTACAAATGTAATTGCGTCGGTTGCATTCGGTATCGAAATCGATTGTTTCGAAAATCCAGACGATGAATTCAAAAAATATGCTTGGCGATTCTTCGAACCGAAATTCAAGCATGTAATTCGTTTCAATTTGTCATTTTTTAGCCCATTTCTGATGAAATTGTTCAAAGTTCGATTTGCTGACAAAGATGTTGAAGAATTCATGAAAGATACTATTAAAAAAAATCTGGATTATCGGGAAAAAAATAGCATTTCACGAAAGGACTTTTTCCAACTGTTGGTGCAAGTGAGAAATACTGGAAATGTGGTCGATGATGGTGCCGATTGGACGACAAAAGCAACAAATGATCCAAAATCAATGAGTTTAGATGATATTGCAGCTCAAGCATACGACTTTTTCATTGCTGGTTACGAATCGAGTTCCACTACGATGTCATTTTGTTTGTACGAACTCTGTCGCGATCCGGAAACAAAAGATAAGGCTTATGAGGAAATAGTGAATGTCTTACAAAAACACGATGGACATTTATCTTATGAATCGCTGAGTGAGATGAAATATTTGGATAATTGTATTGATGGTAGGTACATGTGCATTGTGCATAACATCAAACCGAAACCGATGCTGATTGTTATTTATTGTTTACAGAAACTCTTCGATTGCATCCGCCGTTTGAATTCATTTCAAGAGAGTGCACAAAAGATTACAGAGTAGCGGACACCAATGTGGTCATTGAGAATGGAACGCCAATCTTTATTTCAGTCACTGGGCCACATTATGACTCAAAATACTATACAGAGCCAGAACGATTCAATCCAGATCGTTTCAAAGATGATCTAAATGTGAACAAAAATTCTCAAACTATGCCATTTCTTTCGTTTGGAGACGGCCCAAGGAACTGTATAGCAGCTCGCTTGGGAAAAATTCAGTCAAAAATCGGTGTTTGTTTATTGTTGAAGAAATTTTCATTCGAATTAGGTGAACAACACATAAACAAACCACTTATATTGAATCCAATGAGTGGAGTTAGAGCTCCAATATCAGGCATTAAGCTTAAGGTTCAACCTCGTTGAATTGAGCAATTGCTTGATTTGTCAGACAAGAAAATTGAAACAGAAACGAATAAAGTGATTGTGTTAATCTTTAATGTTTTTATACCACCCAAATGTGATAGTACGTGGAAAGTTTCGACATCACATCCAGTTGAATATAAGCATTCGTCTTATGAACAGACGATAAAGAGAATAACAATGCGCATGTGTATTAGTAGCTGCTTTTATAGGCATCGCTTAAGTCTACTCACTTATACACGCGCATTGTTATTTATTCGCTTTTTCGTATATTCGTAAGATGAATGCTCACATCCAACTGGATGTGACATCGAAACGTTTGACGTAGTGTTGCGCTTGGGCAATAGCAAGTGTTTGTTGCTCTTCAAATAAAAGATGTATTCTTAAAAGATTGAGTGTTTATCGGTTTTATTTCTATATTATTATTACAAAAAGACAATTTTCTTAGATGCTTCCAATCCGTGTATACTTGTTTGCAATGGAAAATACTAGTGAAGTCCTTAGCAGGGGGATTGAAGATTGACAGTTGAGCTGCACAAAGATAGAAATGTTATGTCATATGGAGACGCCATTTTTATATTTGCTTGGAGCGACTGGAGCGGTCATACATTTCTCATTCATTTTTCCGTGGTTCGACTCCCGGCATAGGAAAGATGCAAATTTTTCCTCTTCTTCTTCGCTTCGAATGAGTGTTAAAAGAGAGAAAAAATTGGCATTTACTCCATACGATACGTTTCGGAATTTTCACTGAGTATTTGCTCGTAGTATTCGCTTGCCGAATTAAGCAAATTAAAGCAATTGAATCGTTGCGATTCTAAACATTGTAGAGTCAAAAAGTAGCATTATCTAAAATACTTGAGTAATTTAGTATGACTTTACGGCACCAGTTCATGTGCTGAAAAGGAACAAAATAAAATCCTGGTATCATTCATTTTTTTCTAAAATAATATTATTATAACAAATTAAATAAAACGAATTACATACGTAATCCAAACTTTTCCGCTCCGCAGCAATCTAGTTTACCTCCCGCTTAATGTTTAACCAAAATTTCAATGGACCCTTTTTTCATAGCATTTTTGACCTTAAAATATAACTATTTCGACCATTTTCCATACAAAAGTGTCATTTTCGAACAAAATTTAAAAAAATTCAAGAAATGTTGATTTCGGACCAAATTTATGGGCAAGTAGGTGTTCAGTTGTTTGAAGGCTCCCATTATTTTTGCAAAAAAAATATCAGTTTGCTTGACCAAAACCCTGAAAAATAGCTTTCTGAGTGATTTTTCATACAAAAGTCTATTTTTCGAGGAAAATTTCAAGAAATGTCGATTTTGGACCAAATTTATGGGCAAGTAGGTGTTCGGTTGTTCACAGACTCCCATAATTTTTGCAAAAAAAATGGCAGTTTGCCTTGATCGAAACCCTGAAAAATGCTTTTTTCGGGTACTTCCCGTACAAAAGTGTCATTTTTCAAGGTTTTTCAGGTCCTCAGTCGGAGGCTTATGGTACGAAATTGGTAGGTCAGAATGGGCTCAAAATCAATCCGAAGCTTCGTCTCGACATGCCAAAACTTTTGGCTTTTACAGATCTCAATTATCTTGTCAACTTTTTGAGATAATCGGCGAACAAAAAACGCGAACGCGGACGACGCCATACGCACATCGCAATTTTGCACATTTTTCATAGTAAACAACATGTTTTTGGAGGCAGATAGGTCTTGATCGATAGGATTTGTTCCTATCTACATTGCCTAGTGTACAGATATGTGCTTTTTGAAGTTTATCGTGACGTTATAGTGGTCCGAAAGAGGAGATGTCATGAAATTTTGGCTAGTAAAACCCAGGGGGTTTGTAGATTGAAACAAAAGCACACTAGCGCATATACGGCAAGCTACAGAACTATTCATTCAGTATATATCATGTAGCTCAACTGTCAATCTGTAATCTCCCTGGTAAAACCAATACTTTTCCATACAAACAAAGTTTGCGGAAAAGTAATATTTTTCAAGTGTATCTTATTTTCATTATCTTTGTTTGGCATAATTATAAAATCATAAAAACATAGTTTCATGAGACATAACATACGCGTTCTTGGAGCGGCCATCGAAATTGATTACAATAGTAGCCAACATTGATTACATCAATAACCAAAATTACAATGTAATAATTTCAACACCCAATTACATTTTTATTCTACGTTTTTACAAACATGAAGTTTAAAAAGGCTAAATAACGCTTTCGTATTAATAAAAATCAAAGAGATAAATCAAACATTGATTCCTCAGCAATAATTAATAGCGGCCCATCCAGTTGGAGTGACCAATCCAGTTGGAGCGGCAACTCTACAATTCACCATGGAGCGGCTAATATTGTTTTTCAAAAGAAAAACTATAATAAACGAATTTGAATTGTCTGAAATTAATTTAATCAATGAAAGTAAGAAAATTACTTTTTTATACATTTTCATTGGTTGAATTTTTTCTTTAAAAAAATAAAATAAATATAATACTTAGTATACTAGATATATAAAATTAGCCGCTCCATGGTGAATTTGTAGAGTTACCACTCCAACTGGATCGGCCACAGGTAATTGTTACTGAGGAATCAATATTTGATTTATCTCTTTGATGTTTTTAATACGAAAGTATTAGTAACACATCGGTCAATAAGTCCCGAGCCTAACCACCAAGTGGCAACACTAATGTCAAACCCATATCATTTTCGAAAACTACAACCTTTTTTAGGAATCCAGTCAAAATTTGAGCCAAATCCGACCATCAGTT